CATACCACACCATACCATATGATACCATACCATACCACACCAAACCATAGATACAATCCCATACCTTACCATACCATACCATATCATACCATACCATAGCATACCATACCATACCATACCATACCATACTATACCATACCATACCATACCATACCATACCACTTTATTCATAGAGCACTTAAAAACAGCAACAAGGCCAATTAAAGTGCTGTTCAGCAAAAAATAACGAGCAAAGGACACAGGATAAAATGCATAGATCCACAGAGGTGAATATAAGAACTAAATGACTAACATTGTATAATACAGACAAGTTAAAATCAACTCAGTGTCAAAAACCAGGGAATAAAAGTGAGTTGTGTTTTTTTTAAACAAGACTTTAAGACAGTAAGTGAGAGAAGCCTGCCTGACATGTTATGGTAACTCATTCCACAGTCTTGGACCTGCAACAGAGAAAGCTCTGCCACCTCTGAGCTTAAAACAAGTGCCTGGAACTAATAAAAGCATCTGGTCTGCCGACTTCAGAGAGCACTGTAGGACATATGGCTGCAGCGGATCAGTGAGATGGGAGGGGTCAGAACTGTTCAGAGATTTAAAAACATACACCAGACCATACAACATAGCTGGCCTCACTGCTGTGTTGCAAACAGAATTAAACAAAACCTGTTTTTATTATGTTTATTAATATTTCTTCTAAGCAGCCTCTGGGCTGAATCAGGTGTGGATCAGCCCGTCACTCTGAACAACCAGACCGCCACCTCGAGGTATTTTAAAACTTCTCTGACAAAGAAAGGTTTTGTCTACAACGACCAAACACCATGTGAGACTCGAGGAACTGAGACCATGTCCGTGGAAAACCATATTTAGCTCCGTATTGTGCTCCACTCTTGACACCATTTGAATATTTGCTTCCCCCTCAGCTCATAAACATGTTTACTCATCTACACTCGCTGTACGCCCTTTTCCCTTCTTCCTATCGCTCCTTCCTCGTTCTTCATGACAAAACTTCTTCCTTTTCCTGTTTCCCCGTTTGTTTATTCGTATTATTATTATTCTATGTTACAAAGCACCCTGCTGCGCGACACCAGCTCCTGGAAAGCGAGCCGAAGAGGGCTGATGGAGAACACGGAGTCCCTCGTGGTGTTTTCCTCGCGGTCAGGGCGGCACGTTGTGTTCACATCACTCGGCAGCTCAGTCAGGGCCAGACTCTGCACACACGTGATCAACAGGCTGAGATAAAAGCTGAACCAGATGGTGGGACTTCCACTCTGTGTACCGGGGAGAGATAGAGACACGTTCAGGAGCGTGCACATCTCTGCTCGGACTCTTCTGAGGCCTAAATAAAGTCACAGGAATGCAAACAGCGCTCGTTTCATTCTTGGAAGTGTCCACACAGTGTTCTTGGACGACGCTCGCTCCGTTTCAAGAGCCACATTTATGAACCTCGGCCAGCAGCGACACGTTGAGACTCTCTCCGAGCTCTGACAACTTATCAGGTGTTCAGAAATAGACGCAGATACGACTTCATCTTGAACTGAGTTAAAGGCAAGAGCCAAATATAAACGGCCCCACAGACGCTTATTAAAGTGACACTGGCTTTTCTTGGAGGAAGGCACGTCGCCCGCTGCCTCGCATATCCAAGATTTAAACAAAGATATCCGTTAGTCCTCAGAGCAGGCGTTGAGAATGACTCTCAGCTACTGTCATTCCAAGTTTTAGCTTAATGTTTGTAAAATTACTTGAGTTTCAGCTGTTTATGTGTTGGCCACGATTGGTTAGCTGTGGCAGCCAACTTGATGTGGATTGATCCCAAAAGTGAATCAGTTGTAGACAGACATGGGGTAAATACTTTCTGAGAGTTTACTTAAAATTCTTCCAGTAGGTCATGAGATATTTTGCTAACAGACAGACAGCAGTTACTCCAATAGTTAATGCCATATTTTTAAGCAAAAATCTGTGATCTATTGGCACTCAGAGTTGTGTTTTAAGATGACTCCCAGCTACAAACAAACCAAAGTTTAGCTCAGTGTATATAAAACTGACTGAGTTGTAGCCATTTTGTGTAATGGAAAGTTGCTTAGCTGTGGCAGACAACTTATATCGGCTTGCCTCTAAAACTTAATCAGCTATAGATGTGCATTGAGTGATTACTTTGGGAGAGTTTGGTGAAAATCTACCCTGTGGTTAATGAGATATTTTGCTAACAGACAGATCAACATATGCATCCACACAAACACATTCAGTTACACAACTTGCAGTAAAAAGTGACGCAAGTCTTTTTTTTATTTATTTCGAAATGGAGCTCGAGCAAGAGCATATAAACACAACAAGCTCTCACGTGCAGAGGAACATGAGAGCAGAGCAGAGGAGCTTGTTGCTGCAGTTATTTGGAGCTGCAGGAAGATGTTGGGGTGTTTTTAAAGCAACGGACAAACCGGCTGAGGGAGGAAAGAACCCTAAAGGAGGAGAAGAACCACGGAGACGTTGAGGGGTCAGAGGGAACAAGAGGAACCTCAGAGAACAGCGATGAAGTTGCTGTTTTTCTGTTATGACTGTAACATGATGAAGGTCAACAACAGCTGGGGACGATTGAGAGGCAGCAACAAGAAGAAGAAGTTCTGTGTCAAAGAGCCGGACACAAACACCGTCACAACGACAACACGCTCGAACGTCAGACAAAGAGTCAACACTCACACGAGGAGAAACAGCAGCAACGGCAGGCTTTTAGAAACGAGCCGTCCTTATTTCTTTACCTAGAAAAAGTATAAAAATACTCTATATACATGTCAGAGTCAGACATATATATATATATATATATATATATATATAAAGTAAAATAGTATAGTAAGATGTATATAATACATAAAAATATATATGATATATTTTTACTATATAATATACTATTTTACTTTCTATATAGAAAGTAAAATAGAATAATAAAAAATATATATACATATTATATATTTTTACTATATATATATTTATTTATTAAAAGTAAAATAATATAGTATTATACTATTTTACTTTTTAGTATAGTAAAATAATATATATATATTATTTTTTTTTTCTATATATATATTTCTATATATATATATATAGAAATATATAATATACATATATACATATGAATATATAGTAAAATAACACGGTAAAAAGTAATATATATACATATTATATATTTTTACTATCTACATTTATATCTATATGTGTGTGTGTATCTATCTATCTATCTATCTATCTATCTATCTATCTATCTATCTATCTATCTATCTATCTATCTATCTATCTATCTATCTATCTATCTATCTATCTATCTATCTATCTATCTATCTATCTATCTATCTATCTATCTATCTATCTATCTATCTATCTATCGATCGATATAGATATAGACATATAGAGATAGATAAAGATAGTAAAAATTATATAATATACATATATATATATATATATATATATATATATATTTTTTTTTTTTTTAC